GGGGGGGGGGGGGAGGATGCATGTATATTCATATAATCGTGTTCACATACCGTAGAAACAATCGCTTTCAAAAGAAATCCGTCGGGCAGAACACGAATATTTGAATATACACCCCCCCAATTATCGGTCTAGCTACGGCCCCATACACGAGTGAGTTTTTCAAAAAGCATCAAATAACACGACTCCAAAGGACTTGTGCTTTTTGAAGTCTTTGAGAAACTCACAAGTGCTTGTTTTATCTAAATTTCACGAGAAACCAGCCTCGTATTAATAATATACATAGAAATGTTCGAGACAATTGTAGTTTTCCTGCTTTGTTATATCACATTACACAACCCTAACGGCTTGAAAATTCCACTCAACTATGTAAGTCGTTTTGTAAGACTGGTTTAAGGTAAAGTTTTTCCATTTTAAAAAAAGATAAAAGCCATATTTTCCACCCAAACTCAAATTACTTACGTGGCACGGCCGCCATGTTTTGTTTTGTGTTTTGTGTTTTGTGTGTTGTGTTTTTTGTTTTGTGCGTTGTGTGCGTTGTGTGCGTTTTTTGTTTTTTGTTTTCTGTTTTCTGTTTTTGGTTTTCTGTTTTGTTTTGTTTTGTTTTGTGTTTTGTTTTGTGTTTTGTTTTGTTGTGTTTTGTTTTGTTGTGTGTTTTGTTTTGTTGTGTTTTGTTTTGTTTTGTTGTGTGTTTTGTTTTGTGTTTTGTTTTGTTTTGTTGTGTTTTGTTTTGTTTTGTTTTGTGTTTTGTTGTGTTTTGTTTTGTGTTTTGTTTTGTGTTTTGTTGTGTTTTGTTGTGTTTTGTTTTGTGTTTTGTTTTGTGTTTTGTTGTGTTTTGTTTTGTGTTTTGTTTTGTGTTTTGTTGTGTTTTGTTGTGTTTTGTTTTGTGTTTTGTTTTGTGTTTTGTTTTGTGTTTTGTTGTGTTTTGTGTTTTGTTGTGTTTTGTTGTGTTTTGTTGTGTGTTTTTTTTGTGTTTTGTGTTTTTTTTGTGTTTTTTTTTGTGTTTTGTTGTGTTTTGTGTTTTGTTGTGTTTTGTTGTGTTTTGTGTTTTGTGTTTTTTTTGTGTTTTTTTTGTGCTTTGTGTTTTTTTTTGTGTTTTGTGTTGTTTTGTGTTTTGTGTTGTTTTGTGTTTTGTGTTGTTTTGTGTTGTTTTGTGTTTTGTGTTGTTTTGTGTTTTGTGTTGTTTTGTGTTGTGTTTTGTGTTCTGTTGTGTGTTGTGTTTTGTGTTGTTTTGTGTTTTGTGTTGTTTTGTGTTGTTTTGTGCTGTTTTGTGTTGTTTTGTGTTTTGTGGTGTTTTGTGTTGTTTTGTGGTGTTTTGTGTTGTTTTGTGTTTTGTGTTGTTTTGTGTTTTGTGTTGTTTTGTGTTGTTTTGTGTTTTGTGTTGTTTTGTGTTGTTTTGTGTTTTGTGTTGTGTTTTGTGTTGTGTTTTGTGTTGTGTGTTCTGTTGTGTGTTGTGTTGTTTTGTGTTTTGTGTTGTTTTGTGTTTTGTGGTGTTTTGTGGTGTTTTGTGGTGTTTTGTGGTGTTTTGTGGTGTTTTGTGTTGTTTTGTGTTTTGTGTTGTTTTGTGTTGTTTTGTGTTTTGTGTTGTGTTTTGTGTTGTGTTTTGTGTTGTGTTTTGTGTTGTGTGTTCTGTTGTGTGTTGTGTTGTTTTGTGTTTTGTGTTGTTTTCTGTTTTGTGGTGTTTTGTGGTGTTTTGTGGTGTTTTGTGGTGTTTTGTGGTGTTTTGTGGTGTTTTGTGTTGTTTTGTGTTGTTTTGCGTTGTTTTGCGTTGTTTTGTTTTGTTTTGTTTTGTTTTGTTTTGCTTTGCTTTGCTTTGCTTTGCTTTGCTTTGTTACTTGACGACTACAGTACTTTAAGCAAATTGGTTGATTTTAAATCCCATTGTTTTTCCATCATTGAGATTAGTTGTTTACAGATTTTCGCACTGTTCTTACAGATTTTTTCAATGCTGTTTGAAATTAATAAAGTGCACCGAAATCAACCAATCACAGTCGAGTAATATTTTTATGTGTATTTGCTGCCACTATTCTTTAACACGAATAATATATTATATGGCTTTGCAGAATCCTGGATTCTGATTGGTCGACGTGCGGTCCGTAAAATGCGTGATCCGTATTTTCCCGTATCCGGACCGGTTTCCCGTATGTCAATTTGACAGGGTCGAATTTGAAACGTTTTTACGCGTTTATAAGGTCGTTATGTGAAGAAAAAGTATAGATCCTGGGATCATTTTTAAGAATAAGACGTCTTGGAAATATTAATAAGTACTTGTACACCACAAATTTCGTCGAAAAGCTAAGAAAACAAGTCGTTTGAACTCTTACTGGCAACCGTAAGTTTTGGCGGGAAAATTTTTTGATTTGTTTACTTGTTTCAAAAAATAAATAAAGATGAATTTAACGTCCTTAATACCATATTCTAAACAAATATCATATAAACTGGGTTTATAAGCATTTTTTCTGGCGGTGGGGGTTGCCGAAAAAGTAGTTCTAAAGCGATTGTTAAACATGCTTTTCCGTAAACAATATTCGGTGACGAAACCAAATCTAAACGAAGAAAACTAGCAAATAAAACATAGCTCAAAAATACCTTTATAGCGCTCAAACAAATATATGAAAATCAGAAAATGTGTTTAAGGAGCCATATAATAAACGGTTTATTAACCTCGTTTTGCTCGGTCTGTACGGGAAAGTATTTGCCTTCGGTTTATCCGCGCACAGACCTCGCTCCTTCGTCGCTCGGTCTGTACGAAAACCTCGGGCAAATACTTTCCCGTACAGACCTCGCTCTCGGTTAATAACCCTTTAGTATTGCGTCTGTCTGTAAAGATGTCATAATTCCGGGGAAATAATTATAAGGCTTCAGGAAGTTTTTCTAAACGAGGGAAGCGGTCAATTCTTCTCAGGTATGTTTGATTTTCACGATGCAAAAGATCGACAAATATATTTTGAATAATTCAGGTAAGGATGGATTTTGGGGTTCTGTGGTATTAGAAAACAAAAGCTTTTTTCAGGATTCTTAATAATGGTGATAGGGAATTTTTAGATAAAGTCGGGGATTTCACTGCGGGGTTCGACATTTCGACTAATTATAATACGATTCATGAGGTGATCAGGATTTTTTGCAAAACAACTGCGTTCGTCTGTATGTTTATAAGATAAAAATATAGATGAAGATAAGTTTTCAAACGTCTGTTTTCATAAATGCTGTAACTGGAATGCGTGTTTGGAAAACAGGTATGCTAAATTAGATGTGTTTTTGAACTTTTGATGTTAATTTGGCGAGTAGCTATATTTTAGATCTGGCAACGTTAAAAATCTAGGCGAAAAGAAATGCTTTGTCAAAAAAAACGGTTATCCAATGTCATATTTCGGATATATCATAAACTTAATCTCGTAGAATACAAAGTTTTCTGGTATGTTTCGGACCTAGGGCTAGGAAAACTTCTGCAAGCAAAAATACAATTTTTCCACGGTTTCCTTTTCATTGTTAAAATGGCGAGTATGTATAGCTATATTTTTGATCTGGCAACGTAAAAAAGAGAGGCAAAAAAACATGCTTTATCAAAAAAAGCCAGTTATCTAATGTTGTATTTCGGATATATCATAACTTAATCTCATAGAATACAAAAGTTTTGGGTATAGGTTTCAAAAAGACAATTTTTCCGCGGTTCGTTTTTCATTCATTATAAAATGTCCCGTCCCTTTCAATAGCGAGAAGCTATATTTTTTCTCTCATCAGGAGCGTTTCTTTTGTAACTCTAGATTTCAACTTGTACGATTTGGATTTTTAGGATTCGTTAAACAAATGGAACGAATACACTCTTTCGATAATTACGTCGCAACTACACTGTTTTCAACTTAAGACCACCTTAAATGGAAAAGATTTCAAGTTTTTTCTCATGGGCTATGCACAGAGAAGCAGAACATCCTTCTTCAACACATGCATGAAAAATAATTCTTTATTTTGACCACTAAATGTGGAAATAAGATTTAACACGAAAACGAGGCTCCAGCATGATCTGGAACCTCGTTTTCGTGTTAGTGCTTATTTCCATATTTATTGATCAAAATCCAAAATTTTTTTTTCATGGATGTGTCGAAGAAGGATGTTCTGCTTCTCTGTGCATAGCCCATGAGAAAAAAACTTGAAATCCTTTCCATTTAATATGGTCCTAAGTTGAAAACAGTGTAGTTGTGACGTAATTATCGAAAGAATGTAGTGTGAGAATCGGTCCGGAATTATTCGCCTGCTATTTCCCCGCCATTTTTACAATAAGTTTTCTGTCCCACTATATCTTACGGTCGGGTCAAGGTACATGCTAGAAGGCCAGAAGCTCAAAAGGAACGCTGACTCCTAATCATGTTTCAGATTGAATCCGAAAAAACCGTATGTTGAGGTGGATTCATCAGATTCGAATCTATTTAAAGAATTTGTTAATTAAATGAAACTGAAAATAGATAATCGGATTTGAAGATCCAAATCCGGATTGCACCAAAGGAACGCACCCCTAGTACCTAGGAAAAAATTACATTTTCCACGGTTTGTCTTTCCAGTAAAGCTAAAAACATTTGTAGCCCAAATACTTAATAAATTACGTAATTAAATATTTATTCTGTTGCCAGCAACAAAAAATTACTGGCTACATTTGTTTGATGTAGAAAAAGTTTTTAACTTCATAAAAATCAAAATTAGTACTGCTAAAAACGTCATTAACAGCCGCGGTCTAGCTGTATTAATTAGTGTAAAGTATTATAATTTTGGCAACTTTTTGCGCTATCAAATTTACCTATAACATAATCTATGGACTCAAAAACTTTGATGAGATATTTCTGTTGCGAATAACATATATAATATAGGACAATTCCAAACACATATTATCATGAAATTCCATTTCAAAATAAAAGCCAGAATAAAAGGATATTCCGTTGAAATGGCTATAGGTGCACTGAGCTTGAAATTTATAACTTGAACGTCAAATCTTAACGAGTATATCTAGTATGAAGTCTACATAAGGGGCTGATTATATGGAGGCAAGTTACCCGGCTAAGCGAGTTGAAAACTGCATATAATGATAGACTAATGAGCATAAGCTTTTGATCTTATGCGCTTTTCAACTCGCTTAGCCGAGTAACTCGCCTCCATGTAATGAGGGCCTAACTTACATTCATAGGATGCAGGCAAAGCAATTTCCAAGTAATTTACCATCACAATTCCCCGCAGTAGTTGGATAGTTACAGTTGGGAAAATCACCGTTAGTGATTTTGTGCAGGAAACTTGTCCACTTCCACAAGGTTCATTCACTTGTCTTATTTCAAATGTGTTATTTACACTGTCCTTAGCCAGAACATATTCACCTACTCCCATAAAGTCATAACGTGTTCCATCAAATGTCGAGTAGTGTGGATCACCTCTTGCTTGGCATGTCGCTTTAACTGTTTGATTTTGTAAAAAAGAAGTGAGTAATGAAATAATACATAGTTCGAAGTCAATCCTTCCAAGCTCTATTTTGCAAGTCTGGAGCAGCATTTGATACGTTTCAATAGATTTTATATACAACTATACATAAACATGCGGTTACAGCTTGACAGCTGACCTCTGTAGCTCAGCTGAATCACAGGACTGTAGATTCAATTGACGATTCCCCTTATCACGTTTTCGTAGCGCTTTGCATTGTGGTTATAGTGGTATCACTCATGCATATTCAAGATGGCTTATTTTTTGTCCTGACCCGTGCAAGAACTTTAAAAATAAAGCTAGGGTCAGGTGCGCGATAGCTAACAGCAAAATATTTGCGAAAACATTCAAAATTCTCATTCGAGGCCGTTATCTTTATCAGTGATGCCACTATAACCACAATGCAAAGCGCTACGAAAACGTAATAAGGGGAATCATCAATTCCTACGAGAGCATGCACCTATATATAGTGCAGCATTTTTCGCATCCTTTCCTGGTTAGGTCCTAAAATAAATAGTGTACATGCTATTACTAATAAATAGTGTAAATATTATCCATCAAATCCAGCATTTAATTTTTAAATACACGAATTAAAACGGGGGGAGGACATGAACTAAACGTTTTCTAAACGTTTTTCGTGCAGAAAGCAGGCATTTTTGACATTTTTATTGAATTTTTAGTAAGTAAATGAAATTTCTAACATTTTTATTCTCTTGTGATATTTTATGTCATTTTTACTGCAATTTTTGAGAACCAAACGCTGTTCAATTTTGTGTGACAAATCATTGTTTGTCGAAAGGTTTACTTAATAGTGAAAATGCAATGTTTTGCAGTTATTGAACTCGGTTTTTGTGATATCCCGAAATTGCTCGCCCTCGGTATATAAGTGCAATTAAACTCGTCTTCGGCTCGACTGCTAACACACTTCACTTTATAAAATAGCCTTTTAAAAGCACGGGCGCTGATTGGTTAAAAGCTAAAAAAAACGTGTTTCTATAACTCGATAGAAACACGTCGAATTTTCACGTGGGTTGCGTGGATTGAAAAGACAAAATACAAACAATATTTAATATTGAAAAAAAGTTGTAAAACGTCCAAAAACGCCGAAGAATCGTCACAAAAAAGGCAACGCTTTGCTAACTTAGAAAGCAAAGACCTAAAGCACAAAGAACAAAGTATAATACAGCATACTTTGTACTCCGTTTGACTGTTTACCTAGGTAAGATATTTTAATTTTACTTTGTCTTTTTTAAAAAAATATTTCCTCGCGACGTTTTTAATCATGTTTAAACGTTACTAATTATTTAAAACAGTGCTTTCTTTGCAAGCATGTACGTTGTTGAATGAATTATATACTTTATTAATAAAGTATTAAGCGAATTAAGCCTGTTAAAAATTATTGTCTGTTGTTTTGACAGCGATATACTTGTTTACTTGACTATGCTTTAATTATTCTTTTAAACGTATATTAAGATAGAATTAATTTTTGAATGAATGTAATTAAAATCGATAAATTTATCATTTTTATTGTTTTTAAAAGGCTATTTAATAAAGGAAGAAATAGAAAAAATTTTTTCCGTGTTCCTATAGAGTTTATAGAAACACTTGTGGAAGTTTGGGAGAAACTCGAAATTGCGTGGAAACACTCGCACTTCGTGCTCGTGTTCCCACGCAATTTCTCGTTTCTCCCAAACTTCCACGCGTGTTTCCATAACTCTATAGAAACACGGAAAATGTTTTCTATTTCTTAAATATACCTGATATAAACAAATCTATTTTCTAGAGTATTGCTGGGCATTGCCATCTTCTAGAGTATTGCTGTGCATTGACCATTTACGTGTATATTTTAAAATTAGCAAGTCCTTGTACTGTTGGTGATATGACACAAAACGCAATTCAAAAAAATCCTTTCTGGGAGTGGGATAGAAATGGAAAAGGGAAAAAATACATGTAGTTCGAAAATACCATTTACCTTCCGTTTCGCAGCGGTCACCGGTATATCCAGGCGGGCACGAGCAAAGGAATGATAATCCATTATTTGAACAAGTCCCACCATTGCAGCATGGAGCACTCGCACATGGAGAACCTAAAATAGATGAGAATTAAAATTGTTAAAATTCATGTTAACTATAGAGGGGACTCGGAAATGTTTGGGCAAATTATTTTAAAAAGCAAATTTTCAAGTGCATGCAGGTGGGCTGTTTTTAAAAACTAATTATAAAAATGACTTGCGCAAAAAATAGCCTGAATGTTTAAAACGCAAGTTTAATTCATAGGATGGAAATTTAGGCATTTTATGAACTATAAAAGTGCCAGGCAATTTGGTGTATATTAAGTCTTATGCATGCATGCACGGCCTCCAAAGCAGTCAAAGTTTTGTTAGTATTAGCTGAAACTGGCACAAGACTTTCACCCATTGTAACCTTTCACGCATAATTCATCGCACGCATGACTGATTTTATGGATGAGTGATTTCTTACATATACTCTTTATACAAAAAGTTTAAAAAATTATACAAGGTTTAAAGGTCTTCCATTTTTGTGCGCAAGCCATTTTAAAAGAGGTTTTTGAAAACCCTGTACTCGAAACTTTACTTTTTAAAATAATTTTAGTGGTAAAGATAATAGCACACCCCAAACTACCATTGCTTGCCTAAAGTTTTCACAAATTTTGCAGAATTTGCAGTTTATTGAACACTTTCGAACTATGCAATTTTATTATACACCTTGTAATTGGTTCTTTCCTGTGTGTGGATGGTTTTAATTAGGGTGTAACTGTTACATGTCCAAACTATTCAAACTATGAATCTTATCATTATTTTATATGGTATATTATAATATAGCATTCGTTAATTCTGAATGCTGATTGGCTAAGAGCATGTTGATATAACTCAATGTCAACACGAAGACGTCGGAAAATTTCTTTCTTTATGTTTCTTTGTGCTATATTATAAAACAAATATAAAACATTTTTCCGTATTGATATACAGTTATATCAACACTCGTGCAAATTGGGAAAACTCGAAATTGTGTGAAAACACTGTTTCCACACAATTTCTCGTTTCCCCAATTTCCAATCGTGTTGATATAACTGTATATCAACACGGAAAATGTTTTATATTTGTTAAATATAATTTAATTTAATTTAATTTACAAAGGTACGCATAAAGCTGTGACGTACTGCATTGTTGATATCGATCTTCACTCAACCAGTCAATGCTCACACCATACGAAGCACAAGCAGCGACATAGGCCTCTATTGCTTGACATAAACAAACTGTAGGATCATCGCCACAGCCACAGACATCATATTCACAATCATCAACATAACCCTGTAGGACTGGATCAACCTGCCTTGCACAAACATTGAATGGGGGCGATAACAAAGCTGAACAGTTGGCTGTGGCAGTCGCGTTTTTGCCAGGGTAAGTTTCACATGGATGTGGTACATGTGTTGCATTGTCACAGCAAGAATCAGTTTTCCATGAATTTCCAAAGTTTACTGCGTTGTCTGCAGTTGTTCCATATGCTGTCAAGAAATCATCCTCAGGATTTCGATTAAAAGTGCCACATAAACCGGATGTTTTGTCAATATAGCGTCCATACACTGTCACCCTCACATTATGTACATTATTCCACTCAACTTTTACACCGTAATCGCTATCTACTAATGTTACTCGAACTCCCGAGCGCGTAATATCGACACCTTTATAAACAGAAAAGGAATAAGATTAACTATCAGGCAGAAACTGAACAAATGTAAAAATATTTTACAGCAGCATGGAAAAGAGAGTTTTTTTTGAATATGTTAATATATTCTATGTCGAAACTCCCAACTATTTAACAGCAGAATATATGAATATATTTAGTTTCTTGTGTAATCATGTGGATTAGCACAAATAAGAGAAACAACTGTGATAAGATATTATTCTGTTGTGACTAGGGTAGGACCATTAGTGACACACATTATCATTAAATTCCTTTTTAAAATAAAAGCTCTTAGAAATTAAAGGATATGCTGTTGAATTGGCTAGATGTACTTAGGTTGAAATTTATAATTGTTACATCAAATCTTAAAGCAAACATCTGTTATAAAGTTTAAAAGAATTTACCTTCATAATATCTAGGCAAATCAACTTCTGCGCCACCTACCACCACACTTCCCCGCAGTAGTTGGATAGTTACAGTTGGGAAAATCACTGTTAGTGATTTTGTGCAAGAAAATTTTCCATTTCCACAAGGTTCATTCACTTGTCTTATTTCAAATTTGTTATTTACACTGTCTTTAGCCAGAACATATTCACATCTTCCCATAAAGTCATAAAGTGTTCCATCAAATGTCGAGTAATGTGGATCACCTCTTGCTTGACATGTCGCTTTAACTGTTTGATTTTGGAAAAAAAGAAGTGAGTAATGAAGTGAGTGTTGCAATTCGGGAGCACCAATTTGATACGTTTCCATAGATTTTATATAAAATATCTCCATATATAGACATGAACATGCGGTTGCGGCTTGACAACTGGCCTCTGTAGCTCAGTTTATTAGAGCGCTGCCCCGGAATCGCGGGGCGTAGATTCAAATCCCACAGTACCAGAGGACCTAGTGTTGCATTTTTCGCAACCTTTCCTGATTAGGTCTTAAATAGTGTACATATATGCTCACTTGGATTATCCACCAACTCCAGCATTCAAAGTTTTAAATACACGAATTAAAACAAGAAAAAACAACATGAACGAATGGCGTTTTTTCAATGTTTTTCGCGCAAAAATGAGACTTTTTTGACATTTTTATTGCAACTTTAGCAGGTAAGCGAGATTTCTAACATTTTCACTCGCTTTTTTTTGAGGACCAAACGTTTTTTAATTTTGTTTGACAAATCATTGTTTGTCGAAAGAGTTATTAAATACTGAAAATACAATGTGTAATAAAACAGTTATTTATTGAATTCGGTTTTTGTGATAGCCCGAAATTTCACGTTCTCGGTATAAGTGTCATTAAACTCGTCTTCGGCTGTAGATATCACAAAAACCTCATCCAATAACTGTTTATTATCTGAGCTTATTTTTAATAATTCGGCGAAATAATTGATAAGAGCTGACCACTCGTCACTACTTCTATTGAGACAATCCATTGCAATACGTACACTAATTAAACCTCTTCTTAACCATGGAATGAGAAAAGCTCTGATGTCAAATGATCCAAACATTGTTGTGAAGTCTAGTGGTCGTGTCACGAGACACAATTCAACTAAAAACATTTTAACTAACGTTCCTAGAGTAAACACTTTAACTTTTCAAACTAGCTCTTTTAATGGAGCTCCTAGAACATATAATTGCTTGCCATCTTATATCCGTGACGCTGACGTCACAATTGGCCAATTCAAATCATATACTTGTCGAAATATTATCACGAAATGACTGAACTTATATATGACATTAATGTATCACAATCGTTTAAACCTGTGTGTGTTAAATGTCACCCGTGTCGTTCTTTGTCGAGCCTTAATTGTAGATAAAATGTGTTGTAATTGATGTAAATGATTAGTTTAAGGGACCATGTGAATGGGGCAATAAGCCCTGTAGGGATCAACAGTAATTTGTGACAAAGCTAGTACATAAATAAATAAATAAATAAAGAAATAAAGAAATAAAGAAATACATAAGAGCTAATAATATTTCACTATCAACACTATAGTCGAAACGTGGAAATAACAATTTTGAAAATGTGCACGATGTTCGGAGTTATACAGTGCATGGTATTGTATTTTGTAAAAATACTCAGTGGTACCGCATAAACCACCCGCACCTATCTGGAGACTCAAGCGCAAATCTATTTTCTAGAGTATTGTTGAGTATTGCTAATTTCTCAAGCATTATCACGGAATTCTCGTGTATATTTTAAAGTTAGCAAGTCGTTGAACTTTAGTGATGACACAAAACACAATTCCAAAAAATACTTTCTGGGACAGAAATGGGAAAGGGAAAAAATACATCTAGTACGTTCTTGAAAATAATATTTACCCTCCGTTTCGCAGCGAGCACCGGTATATCCAAGCGAGCACAAGCAATAGAATGATGATTCATTATTTGAACAAGTCCCACCATTGCAGCATGGAGCACTGGCACATGGAGAACCTAAATTAGAAGAGAATTAAAATTGGTAAAATTCATGTTAACTAGAGGGGACTCTGAAAATTACAATAGTTCACAAAACACCTTCAAAATTTGCACCCTATATGAATTCAAATTGCGTTTTAAACCTTCAATATTTGTGCGCAAGCCATTTTTAAAGTGGTTTTTGAAAACCCTCCTGCGCTGAAAATTTACATTACAAAATAATTTTAGCGGTAAAGATAATAGCAGACCCCAAACTACTATTGCTTGCATAAAAGTTTTCACAAATTTTGCAGAATTTCCAGTTTAGCGAACATTTTCAAACGGCGCAATTTTTTATACTGTAACTGTTACTTGTAACGTGCAACTGTTACTTGTCCGAACAATATACTAACACTATGAATCTTATCATTCCCTTGTATAATATCATTTAGTTCAATTTTCAAAGTTACACATAACGTTGTGACATACCGCATTGTTGATATCGATGATCACTCAACCAGTCAATGTTCACACCATACGAAGCACAATCAGCGACATACGCCTCTATTGCTTGACATACACAAACTGTAGGATCATCACCACAGCCACATACATCATATTCACAATCCTCAATATAACCCCCTGACACTGGATCAACCTGACTTGTACAAACATTGAATGGATGAGTTAACAAAGCTGAACAGTTGGCTATAGCAGTCGCGTTTCTGTCAGGGTAAGTCCAACATGGATGTGGTACATCTGTTGCATCGTCACAGCAAGAATCAGTTTTCCATGAATTTCCAAAGTTTACTGCATTTTCTACGATTGTTCCATTTGCTGTCAAGAAATCATCCGCAGAATTTCGATTAAAAGTTCCGCATAAACCTGATGTTTTGTTGATATAGCGTCCATACACTGTCACTCTCACATTGTGTACATTATTCCATTCAACTTTTACACCATAAGCACTTTCAACCAATGTTAGTCCAACACCGGAGCGCGTAATATTCTCAATATTGACACCTTGAAAGACAGAAGGGAAGTAATATTAACTTTCAGGAGGAAACTGAACAAATTTAATCATTTTATGGCAGTTAGATAGATAGATAGATAGATAAATTCTTATTTATACACGCTAATGCCGTCAACCGAAGCTGATTTCCACGAGGAAATCACAAATAAGATTTTTACACGTACAGGAAAGTGATAATTAGAGCTATTTACAAAAGTTTTAAGAGATATAGAGTATTAAAATAGTAACATATTAATGAGTATTAAAATAGTAACATATTGATGTCTAATGGGAAAGTTGGCAGACTATTTACAGGCACATTATTTACAATACCTATTATTCATAAATGTGAGCAGCGATTTTATTTCGAAAGGAAGAAAGTGATTTGCTTTCTCTAATTTCTTTTGGAATAGAATTCCAAAGTTTAGCTCCGTCGTAAATGAAACTATTTTTCATGTTATTAGAAAGATGTTTTGGTAAACAAAGACCAGTTGAAATGTCCCGAAGGTGATTTGTTTTCTCACATTTATAAGAAAATAGAATTGTGAGTGATTTGGGGGACCCATTTTATTTAATACTTTGCACATCATTTTTGCTTTAGCTTTCTTCGGTTTTTTTTGCTTTAGCTTTCTTCCCTAAAGTATGTATGACAGTATGAAAAAGGCGGTGTTGGTATTGCCTTAATGCACAGGGATCCCAAGCGTTGATCTGTGTTAGTGTTCTATGTTTTTCAGTTTATTTATTTTAGTGTCTTCATATTGCCTTTTAATTGAATTATAACACTAAATTACACTAATATGTCATATAATAATAATATTTCTATAGTCGAACATATAATAACAACATATAAGTTGATTTGTATTTGTATGTTTTTCAGTTTATTTATTTAAGATCTATTATTAGCTTATATCATAGACAATTTATATAAAAGCACCGCCTTTCGAACCTGACAGCCCGTTCGCAGGCTACACGCGGGATTTGAAATAGGGGGCGGCAACAATATAAATACGTGACAAGGGATGAAACTCTTAAAGTTTGTCGTATTATGAACGCCCCGACTTGAGTGGACCAATAATTATGCAATGAGTGTCGTGTCGAATAACGCCGTCAACCTTTGGGAATCAATGATATAAACAAGGAAACAAACTCGAATACAACTCGAGGTGAGAAGCCAATTTGTGTCGATCGTAACGATTTCAATGTTTAAAATTTAAAATTAAATAATTTAGGTCCAGTCAAGTCGGGGCGTTATTACGTCGCTATTAAAAACTATAGCAATTTATAAGACTTTAGGGCTTTTATTTCACAAATTTTTTCAATGGCTATGTACTTTAGCCTTAGACATATCATGTGGCCGAATTTCAAGCTAAAATTCGTTTTAACAAGCACCTACGGCTTCAAAATAAAACATCGCCGTATTGTAATTTCATCCCTTGTCACATTTCTTATTTCAGTGCAATCTCGTTCCCAGAGTATGCCTGTTCGCGGGTTAGGTAGTGTCATGCCACTACCTAACCCGCGAACAGGCATACTCTGGGAACGAGTTTGATATCAGTGCGAAATAACGCGTGTAGCCTGCGAACGGGCTGTCAGGTTCGAAAGGCGGTGTTTTTATATAAGCTAATAATAGATCTTAAATAAATAAACTGAAAAACATACAAATACAAATCAACTTATATGTTGTTATTATATGTTTGACTATAGGAATATTATTATATGACATATTAGTGTAATTAAGTGTTATAATTCAATTAAAAGGCAATATAAAGACACTAAAATAAATAAACTGAAAAACATAGAACACTAACACAGATCAACGCTTGGGCTCCCTGTGCTTAATGCAAGTGTATGTCAAATTACCATTTAACGGCAAAATATACATCTGGGGGAGGTCTGTCTGAAAAAAGAAATTCCTGAGGTTTCAGAAGCGGATCAAGGCTAAAGGCCGAGGAACGCTTCTCAGTCTAAGCGATAATATTTTTTATTACTCTAAATGATAAATACTACGGATTCAGATTGAGGGTTTAATGACGTGGCGATCATGTGAGCGTTGCGGGTGTTGTCAAGTGGTAAATTACTTGTTGCTATGAGGGAGCGGTGAGATTTTGAATTGAATACATATATGTTTAGAATTTACACTGTAATGCAAAAATATGGATAATCTTCCTGATCGAAATTCAGGTTGTATACAATTATTATTGTAACAATCGAATAACCCCTATACTTATAGGGAACGAAGGCTTGCTATCTTTAACGTATGATTATTTTTTCTCGCATGTAGAAGAATTGCAACAAGCGAAGAGTTGATGCGTTTGACTGTCGTAGAACCAGATCGGCCTGAAATTGACTTATCATCGAAGTATTTTAAATCTCAAATAATGAGATTAGTAAAAACAGGCAGGAAGACCATTGTTATGCGCGTTTGGCTTGGGAGAAACGATTTTATCTTGGCAGTAACGGTTCCAAATTTTCGATACAATGGCTGACGATATCCCAAGGGGACGTCTACTTCTACGGATTTTCCAGGAAAAACTCCTGTTTCGGGATCACATCCATTGCTAATAATATTTCCTATTGTTAACAACCTTAGTCTTTGGATAAAGGTTTTCCGGGCATAAATAATCGACCATATTCGTTTGCGCGCAACATTTTAAAAACCGTTTGTTCACCGACATTCTCTCATAGCAAGAAGTAATTTGCCACTTGACAACACCAGCATTTTTCTCTTGCAACGTTCACATGATCGTGACATCATTAAACACTCAACCTGAATCCGCAGTAACGTGTTTATATTTTTTGTTTGACGGTTCATGGTTATAATGAAATTCCAATATAATTCCGGTATTGCCAAGTACATTTGAGATCAGTTGCTTTTGTTACTTTAGTCTCATGTCTATTCTGTGCTTTAGTCCAACCATGGCTGACAAACTGCTAAAACAAGGTGACCAAAACTGGATAAGGATTTCAATCAAAACATGTAGCATTGGCCATTGTTTTATTTCAATGTTTATGTCAAAATATTTAACTTTTCAAGCAAAACTTTATCGCAATCATCAGGATTAGCAGGAATAAAGGAAACAATTTTCATAAGATACTATCCTGTTGCAAATAAGGTAGGACCTAGGGTGTGCAAATCCGATCCGATCGGATTTCGGAACAAAAATATTCATTTCGGATTGGATCGGATTGATAAAGTTGTTTCGTAGTCGGATCGGACTTCTATATGCGAAATAAAATGCATTAATTGTCCACGACAACGCGGTTGTTGCTGCATTATTCGTTTGACACTTTGGACGTCACTTTGTCAGCTTCTTGACATGTATTTCTTGCTTTTATATTTATTTGGTTAAATATTTCCACTTGAATGAGAAATTTATTTTATTAAAGGAATCTTCGGATCGGATCGGAATTCTTTATCAAAACTCGGATTAGATAATTTCGGATCGGATTGGATTTTAAACAGCCAATTGTCGGATTATAAACGTCCAATTCGATCCGATGCACACCTCTAGCTAGCTAGTAGGACCATTCCAAACACACATTATCATTAAATTCCTTGTTGAACTAAAAGCTAATAGAAAGGATGTGCCGTTGAATTGGCTAGATATACTAAACGTCAAATTTATAACTGGAATGTCGAATCTTAAAGCATATATCTGTGATGAAATTTAAAAGAATTTACCTTCATAAGATACAGGCAAATCAACTTCTGAGTCATTTACCACCACACTTCCCCGCAATAGTTGGATAGTTACATTTGGGAAGATCACTGTTAGTGATTTTGTGCAGGAAAAGTTTCCATTTCCACAAGGTTCATTCACTTGTCTTATTTCAAATGTGTTATTTACACTGTCCTCAGCCAGAATATATTCGCATCTTCCCATAAAGTCATAAAGTGTTCCATCAAATGTCGAGTAGTGTGGATCACCTCTTGCTTGGCATGTCGCTTTGACTGTTTGATTTTGTAAAAAAAAGTAATGAAATAATCAATAATTTAACCTCTAAAGTTTAACATTTAAAGCTAGTGTGCATATTTTAACAATTAGACAACAAAGACGAGTTGTATACGAGGAAAGAATCAACACAGGCGTATAGTCTGAGTTGAATATCCTTCATAGACTATGAGGCCTGTTCATATGATTTTTTCAATGTTCGAATGTTTCACCTGCGGCATTTTTTGTTTACTTTTGGAAAACAACCTGGCGGGAAAGTTTTTTGAAAGTTACTATATCAAGAAAAATTACAAAGCAACGTTTTGATAATTATATACAATCCAAAAAAGGTGTGTTAAATTTACACACCTTTTTGTCCAAAATGTAACACCTTTTGGTGTCTTTTGAAACACACCGACAGGTCAGTGTAGCACATCTTAGAGGTCTGTAATGGTGTTTACACACCCATTAGTGTGTAAAAAACACCTGTAGTTGTATTTTAAAACACACCAAAATATGTTTTCGGCCAAATTTCAACACACCTTAACACATCTAAACGGATGCTTTATAACACACCATTGAAGTCTGTCATGTTTATAGCACGCTCTAAGGTGTGTTACATAACACTCCTGAACTGCCCTATCATTGACAATTTCTCACCGATTATCACCGAATTATTGAGCATATTTTAAATTTGACAAGAACTTCCACTGTTAGTATTGAAGTAAAACTCAATTGAACAAAACTTGTTCTGGAGTAAAAATGCAAAAAGAGAGAATATACATCAAAAACTCATTAATAATTCATGAAGCAATTATCCAACCTTGAGTAAGAAATTAGTCACGTGCATACGTCTTTATACCAGCTAAAGAACACTTTAAAGGTGATCTACAGTCCGATCTGCGCATGTGCACAAATGAGCCCACTTTTTATGATACAAACAGTTCAACTATGTTTTGTGTTCTTGAAAAGCCTAATTGTTGTTTCTTGATCATTTATTATACTCTAGAAGCTTGAAAATATAAATAGTTGTCGAATAAAGCTCAATATTTTGGACACAAAAATGTAAACAAAGGCTTTGTTTACATACGGACTGTAGATCACCTTTAACAAAAGACCATTGTTATGCAAACTATATAAAGATTTTTATATAAAGATTTTTATATAAAGATTTTTATATAAAGATTTTATATAAAGATTTGACTTATTATGCATACGTTTTTGAAGCCATTTAAAAAACTCGCAGGTCGTGTTTTATTAGGTCTAAAGCCACTCGCGCTGCGCGCTCGTGACTTTAAACCTAATAAAACATTCCTGCTCGTTTTTTAAATAATACATCAAGGACGTTTTTAAAAATAATATATACATTCGATTTCGCAGAGGTCACCACTATATCTAATAGGGCATGAGCAAGAGAATGATGTTCCATTATTTAAACAATTCCCACCATTATAGCACGGCGCGCTGGCACATGGAGTTTCTAAATTTGATTAAAATTCAAAAGCTTAAAATTTCAGAGGGATGTAGGAGACTTGTACCCATAAGCTGCCAGCGAATTAACCAAAAGGACTAAAGTATTCAGTATTTTTTCGGAATTTTCTTTATTCAAAACTTTCGAGTGTTTTTTTTAATTTATTAAGGGATTGTGATTACAAAAGTCACGAATAGACAATAGTTCATTGACAATTTGACATAACTTTTTGGTGAAAATTAAGGCTTTGTACATTTCAAATAGATGATTACTTGGTTAGTTGCATATGCACTAACATGCATCATTCGTACATTGTTTATTTCAATGTCTAGTTCAATAGTCAAACAAAGATTCCAATACGAATATATTTATTCATAACATGATGTTTTTAAAAGATATATGCAAACCGATTTTGTTGTGCATCAAAAATTGAATAACAGCCTAACTAGGGTTTGACTGTGTTTGAAGGTCATCAATGTTGATATCTTTGGAGAGTATGTTTGGTATATAGCCAACACTAAATGTGTTCACTTCTCTCGGTAAAGATAAATGCTAATTTTCGTATAAATTATCATACAAAACACATCCTAAATTTCAGGGTGTCACATGAGTATTCGAAACTAGGGCATTTTTGCTGACAATCTAAATACGCAAGCAAAAGTGCTGGGTAACAGGTTATTCAGGGAACTCAAGCGCAAGTATATTTTTTCCAGCGTTCCTCCATCATCGACAATTTATCAACTATTACCACCGAATTCGTGAGCATATAATTTAACACGAGTTTCCACTGCAGTTAGTAATGGAATAATACTTAATTCCACAAAATTCTTCTTGGAATAACATGGAAAAAGAGAAAAAAAATACATGTAGTACGTTTTTGAAAATAATATTTACCTTCTATTTCGCAGAGGTCACCGCTATATCCAACCGGGCATGAGCAAGAGAATGATGTTCCATCATTTGAACAAGTCCCACCATTCAAGCACGGAGCACTGGGACAACCTAAATTACATTAAAATTAAAAATGTTAAAATTCATGTGAACAAGAGGGTCTCAGAGATTTCGATTCATAGCCTCAGCAATTTGGGTTATATATCACACATCAATAATATGATACACCAATTATAGGGAAACTGCTCACTCCAGCAAGCAAAACAAGACAAACTTAGCTTTTGCTAATTTCTAACACAATGTTCATCCAAACTTAACCAAAATTTAATCAATTTGTCCAATGGGCTATGTCCATTATTCCAATAAACTTTCGCATTAGTACTTTTGATATTACATCAGTTACTAAAAGTACAAAACTAAAAAACACGCTGCTTCTCGGGTGACAATTTGTTACATGTTACCCAAACTTAGCTACCAATAAATAAACTATATAGGCGACCCAACCTAGCAATGACACATTTGTTATTGTGCGAAAGCATTTGTAAACAATAAAGAATTCGAGGTATTTCATATAAGCGTTTCACCTAAGAACGTACTTGTTAACTCTGAAGTTGGCCATACAAACAGAAATTGGACGGTCGTGACCCGTAGTCCAATCCCATCTCCTCCAAATTACGAAATTCGTGGAAGACTAATCTATTTCTCTGCTGTCAACCCAACTATCAACCTACTTCCAACCTCATACCCGGGATTTGGGATTCCGCTCTTCGCTGTTTTCCACCTGATTGCATGCTCAATGAATTTGAATTTAATTAACCAATGTATTACGAAACATTATCACTTATACATAACATTTTAGGTAAAATAAAATAACAGAAGATGTTTGCTTGAGAGCAGGTGAAATGTTCGTGCAAGCAAATATTATCCTAAGCATAATGAGAAGAGATAATGGATATTTTGCCACAAATCAAAGTAACGTAAATATTTCGGTTCTTCGGAAAACATTCATTATTTCTTCCATTAGGCTATGACAGTTCGTTAAACTAGCTGCCGTTGTGTATGTGAAGATGTCATGTTGTGATTGACCTGTTTCCTATAGTTTATCTTGTGGGCAGATTTGTTTAAAGAGAGCAGCTTCCTGAGGTCTCATGAACATTGACCTTTCACGTGGACAGGCTCTAGGCGTAAAGATGAGTCATCCCAAGCTAGATAACACTCGGTCATGCAATTAAAATATTACGTCATCAAAATCTTATTTCGATAAAATTGTAAGTAAATTTAGTTTAGTAGGTAAAGTAAGGTTCACATAGGTATAGGTTGCAGATTTTACTATGATATTTTGATAAGTATTTTAAGTTGTGAACATATTTTAGCATTGATCGATTGAACAGCGAACCGACTCGACAAGTGCGACAACGCCTTAAATAAATGGAACGTGAGAGCTGGAACGAGCTAGCAACGCCAACCTACACTTTTAAAACTCAACGTTGATTGGCTGGATACAGATCACACCACTTGTTAGACCACGTGTACAAAGGGCCCCCTCAAGCGTTAGTATAAAAGTGCGTGCACAACCCAAATTCGTCAGTGAACGTAGACTTAGTAAAGCTCAATTGATGAAAAGCTATTGAAGCTCAGCAAAACTGAGACGAACGAAGAAACGAACAGATCACGAACGGAGAAAACCAGTTCAAGGCTGAAATGAACTTTGAAGCAGGACTATTCCAACATTATAAACATTAGTGACAATAATTACAAAAGTTGTAAAGAATCACTACCTAAATAAAGCCTCGCAACAAATGTAAGAATAATTACTATCAGTGTGGCAGACGTAGAGTGCGTTCACAAATTCAGCTGTTGAAGGACAAAAAAGTTGAGTATAGAATAAGACTTTTCAAGTTCTTTTCCACCAATTGCAAAGACAAAAATCGTTGGACAAAAGTTCATTGAGAAGTTTACACAACTATTTGGTAAAAAACATCGTGGATTTCAAGAGAGGTACATACAGCGTTATAGTCAAACAAAGATTCTCAGTCGAATATATACTGAAAAAGTACTGGGAACCAAGTCAATCTGGAGACTTAAGCAGAAATCTATTTTTATAGCATTGCTTTACCATTCACAATTACTCAACCATTATGACATGACGGAATTCTCGAGCATATTTTAAAGTTAATCCTTGTCGACAAGTAGTTTCGCATTACATTACAATTCAATTTTTCAAATGTAAATATCGCGGCGAGTATTTACCCCCCTTTAAAACAAAACCCACCATTGTAATCCTCACAAAATAACCTTTCGAACGGGGGGTCAAGTGTTGTCGAACATTATACAAACCGAAACAATCATATAGTTATACTCACCGCTTCGCCAAACATTCAAATGATAAAAAGAGAAAAAATTGAATATCTTCTAAACTTTTAGTCATTTTCTGAAAGGCTATATGTGCAAAATACTCTTTGTATTCAAGCGCTTTACTGTAGAAAGTTTTGTATGAATACGACGAGTAGAAATATTTATTTTGAATTTTTAAAGTATCGGGTTTTACTCGCACGCGCTTGTATTACGTAATACTTGGCCAATAAGGAGCTCCCTTTAGCCGGGATGACGTAAAACTCACGCGTATGGGTGCACTTTGACCTGTAGAATCCATTTCTGGCATTTCCAGAGTCACGCGATACAAGCGTAGCATTGTTTTGACGGTTTTTCGTCGTATTTCCGGTTGGGATTAACGCATATTCGGAGCAGAAATACAAAATTCGGCACTAAATGTCGAACTTTAAAGACAGAAGCTTGAAAATAACACTATACGTGTTATTTTTAACTTCTGAATTCATCAAGACGATCAGAATGAGCATACGTCTCAATGGGACGAAGTTATATTCGGCGAAAGGTATGTTTATGTTTATAATTTGTCAGTAATATTGCGTAATTTGATCATATACGAGCTCGTTTGACTTTCAAAGCTCATAAATCGCTATAATGTTGCCATTCACTAAATCTATCGATAGGAATGAGTAGCTATCGTTACACTGAATCGAATGGTGGTATTTTGGTCCACGTAGCATTCAATGAACCGAAGATATTAAATCGGCAAAGCGTATTGCTTACAAGCATTGCGGTAATAGGGTCGTGTCGTTAAAGAGTTAAATTAATAAGAGTTTCCCAGGAAAGATACCTTCCCCTCTTAAATTTAACAAGAGCTTACCCCTCTATTCCACGAAACTCTTTCTGGAATAAAAAGGGGGGAAATAGAAAAAACAACTTGTAGTCAAACAGCGGTCACCACTATATCCAACCGAACATGAGCATGAGAATGATGATCCATTATTTGAACAATTTCCTCCATTATAGCATGGAGCACTTGAACATGGTGATTAAAATCAAAGGCGCTAAAATTCCAGAAGAAAGTGGGTCTTGGCTTTATAGGCCACGGAAGCGAATTAAGTTAATATATTGTATCATGCATGCATAAATATACAATGGACAAATTACAAAAGCTATTTACTCTGCTCAGCAGGGGCAGACTGGGCGGTCGGTCATTCGGGCGTGAACCGAGGCCCGGTGAACTTTGGAGGCTCGGAATTTACTAGATTTCGAATGACGACAAACCATTTATCCAAAAATTCAGCTGGCTGTCCTGAATATTCTCAATTACACTTCTAATATTAAAATATTGGGCGTGGAACGTTGCTTACTGAAGTACAACTGCACTTTTGTTTTACTAATATAGCCAACGAAATTAACGTATTTCTTAAAAGCTTCGCATATAATTCGTCAACTTTCTTGGCCATATTGGGAGTTCAAGTTCAGTACGAGAATACATTAATTTAATATATAGAGAGGTATAGCTGCCTCGTCCTCAGGCGCTAGTAAAAAAATTTCATGCGAGTCACTATATGAAAGGTTTACATGAAGTAGTACATCGCAAGAAACAAGCGCAACACTTGAAGAGGGTAACGAGGCTGTAGAAGAGTTTATATAATAACTTTACAAGGTTTGGAAAAATGACAATGAGTCCTTATCACAATGAGATGAGGAATTATTTATTTAAAAAATCTACAGCTACAGGAAGTTATTTTGTATTGCGTTCTAAGATTCTTCTTACGAACTTATTTACATGCAGTATGTTGGATTTTCACGATGCAAACGATCGACAATATTTTGAATAATACAGGTAAGGATAGCTTCATTTCTTTCTGGTGATATACATGCAGGTATTTATATTTAGATATGCTGTTTACTTGTTTAGTGTTCGACAGCTATAAAACAAGATTGGCCAGGTGCTAACCAACGCTCATGTTTCATCTCCCTTTGCGCGCCTATGTGACGCACTACTTCATGTAAACCTTTTATATAGTGACTCGTATGTGAAATCGTTTTATAGCGCATGGGGACGAGGCAGTAGATATGTTACAATCTGCAGACATGCATGTTTCGGCGTTCTATTGCAGCTTGGTATACGTCTGTAGATACGCGATACCTTCGTATTTATTTCACATGAGCTTGGTCTTACCAAGGCATGTGGTACAACATGATTACTTCAACACATCCAGACATGCGCAGAATGTAATGAAGCCAGAGTGCTCAAACAACCTCAAGGGAAGTGAGATTCCAAGTTTCAGGAAGTAAAAACACACTCAGAGATTAATCAATTCATAAACTGAATTCATAAAAAGTAATGGTGAAAGAAGCTGCATGCAAAAAGTGTCTTTTATGCGCATTTCGCGTGCTATCACAGCACAAATTATGCTCCACAGCTTACGAGAATCTGTTTCTCGCTTACAAATATTTAGTAACATTAAGCATCACACAGTGCTCATGTGAAAGGTCATTCTCGCGGTTGAAGCTAGTCAAGACAAGGCTAAGATCGTCGCTTACGCAGGAAAACCTTGAATCCCTAATGATCATTGCCATTAGAAATGATCTTGCGCTGGAGCTGAAGAACAACAAAGAAAAGATTAGATCATTGACAAATTTGCAATGAGTTCAAGAAATCACAATTTATATTAGGTGCTCAATGTATAATTAAACATATTAGGGGACTTTATTTATGTTATGGATGTTCCACATTCTCGCATTACAATTTACATATTATTTTAAGCAAATAAAAACAATATTTAAAAAACTATATATTTGTACAGTCGTACATGGGCCCGGATTTTATTCCTGACCGAGGCCCGGTAAGTTGCTAGTCCGCCCCTGCTGCTCAGCAAAGCACGCCAAATTTAACTTTTGCTAATCTCTCATCCAATGCTCGTCCAAATCTACCCAAAAGTTAAGAATCTGTTTAATGGGCAAAATCTATTACCACCTGAAATATTTGTCTCAGTATGACTGATAATGTTTAAGCTACTGTATCTAGCTGACAGTAAACACACACACACACAGAAATTTTGTGGTGGCGTATGACCATCCAAGGCAAAGGGCTTTTTTGCTGACCATGTAGAGACGCAAGCAAATTTACACACTGGGTACCAAGTCGATATGGAGACTCAAGCAGAAATCTATTGTTTCCAACATTCTTTTAGTATTGACAATTTCTCAACCATTATCACTGAATCCTCGAACATTTTTCAAAATTTAAAAACAGTTTCCCAAATTTAACAAGAGTTTACTCTCTACTCCACAAAAAAATTTGTTTCTGGAATAAAAATGGGAAAATAGAAAAAATGGATGTACAACGTTTATGAAAGTAATATTTACCTTCAATTTGGCAGCGGTCACCACTATATCCAACCGGGCATGAGCATGAAAATGATGATCCATTATTTGAACAATTTCCTCCATT